CCAACCTCCGTAGGATGAACGAGGACTGCTCTGACCAACACCTGCGTAGGCTGGATTCATTGCGACCCCAATCAGTGCACACCGTTATTTACTAGGTTTGAGTCGTAGGCTGCGACATACGACGTCAGCGATAATGCGAACAAAACCTGGACGTGGGTACTGATCGCTATTATTTTATGTGGAAATTTTTAGAGGTCACGCTGTTAGTTGTTTTTCGAATCCGAAAGCACATCCACATTCCAGTCCGTTGGACAATACTGGGTACGTCTTGTATTCTTGCTCGTAACTAGTCGTAAATAGTGTTTCGTAGGGCGTATGTATGAACACATGCGGTCCATATGCTGTTGAGATGACAACTAAATTTTCTGTAGGTTACTGTGACCCATAAAACAATTTATTGCGACTTACCAACTTCAGAGCAATTCAGTGCAATTCTTTACTTGTGTATTCAGGTGAGGCACCCGTTGTTCGGAGTTGCTTTAAATAAATACGTATCCAACCACATTTAAGGCTGTTGGTTAAGCTGACTAGGAAAAGTTGGCGGAATATGCCAACTTTTGCCACACTTCCCTTATAACAGCCACAAAATACTATCAAGAAACCAGGTTGACAAACTAATGATTTGAAGATCTCATTGTCAGTTTACTATGTAGGCATATCAGGTATATATATTCATCTAGTATGGAGATCCTAATATCACATTCTTTTTCGACCCTCTGAAGCGTCGCCGGTGCATTTACTGTTTAGTAGAGTAGTGCATACTAAAAAAAGCGTTCAGCTGTAACACCCTTCCGGTGCCTAGCTGCCATGCCATCCGAAGGAAGCACGAGGGCTGGGATACTGCCAGGTTGCCCAAGCCTAGATAGGGGAAGTCGAGTGGCGGAGGTCGGATTCGAACCACGAACCTTCCGGTCAGTAAATTCGCGCTCTAACCACGGGCCATCTCGCATACTGTTCGATTGTCATGGCGAAACTGCGGGCCACGTGACGTAATTTGATTTGATTCAGCTTGGTGAGGGTGATACAGCTGTGAGCGGGTTGTTAGTACACATTATTAGATGCCAACATTGGAGATAGTCGGCATGTGTCGTTCGCTGTTTTGGAAACGGATGCTTGTAACAAAATTCAACACAGCTTCCGTGAAAATAGTTCATTATACTTTCCATAAACATGAAAACAGCCACCGAATTCCCGAAATTCAATCATTTTTCGGCATCCACCTGGACAACACCGGAGGAAGCCGTACATAGATAAACGAGGCTTTGTAGAAGTAACTAGAAATAGGTTCAAGCAAAAAGATGCGCGCATGCTGCACTGCCTTTCGACTACGGCTAAAGGGGATATCTGGTACTAGTCAGTCAAGAACACCTCTGGTCATTCACCCCTGGTGCTCAAACGATCTGGATAGATGAAGCTCTACGCAACACGTGAATAAATCTGACGGAACCGATCCTAGCAGACTTCTCGACGACACCATTGATCTACTCCATACTGGCTGATCAGGCTTTTGAAATAAGTTAAATTTGGAATGTCCACTTTCCAGCCTCCGGAACACGTATGACTGTATACTGACCGTTAGTGTATGGGGTGAGGTAATGTCTTCAGTGAAGTTTCAGTGAAGCGATTGATATTATGCTTGATCTGATGAAACCTACCGGTAAGACTCCTAAGAGACGGTTCATGTAAACCCTTACTACCGTTTGAAAGCAATGCTCTATTGTCAAATGAAGCTGATTTTGAGATAACTCCAATTTACTGTTATTAGGGCCTTCTACACTCACGTTCGTTTCACGTTCGAATGATTGCTTGGTCGCAGAAGTGATAGGAGAGTGAGTGTCGTTTCCCTTTTTCTTAATATCAGCAGATAAACTTCATAGTTCAGGTCACTTCACTCCGGACTCATCGAATCGATCGATTTGTTTCGCGGTCACGATTTATTTACAGCACCAGTAATCGCTAAACAATCAGGAAAGGACACGAGATTTATCGCAAACGACCTATCCGAGAGCCGAAGTCAGTGACTAAGCGTCATTCCGTAAGACGCACCCCACCGACGCCCCTCATACTTAGCCCACCATTAGGTTCCGGTTCTCGTTGTGGGCATGGAGTTCTACACAGCTTTATTTAAGAGTCATGAACCATTATGCTATCATTTTGACTAAAGAGCCGTGATGCGATTTATATAACATTTTTCTCACTTCATTCTCTCCCAGTCGTTAAATAAAAATAAAAATAGTCGGTGAGCTGTGATCAGCTGCCGTCACATGAAGGAACCACGAGGACCGGGATACTACCAGGCTGCCCAAGCCTAGCCTAGAGCAGTCGAGAGGCACGGGTTCGAACACGAATCTTCCGGTCAGTAAATCGCGCTGTAAAAACTGAGCCCTCTTGGGTCTCCGGTCTCCTGGTCCCTAGCATTGACTGTTCTGTTAATTCATCCATTTGTGTATACTTATTATATTCGAAACAGTCGTACCATATTTTCAAAGCAGTGGACCTCGATCTTTCGAAAGCTTATCCGAAGACTCCATCTACAAAGCCACGTGGGCGCAAATGTGAATGTGTAAGAAGCTCATAATAGTTCATATCTTGGCTACGTTCCTCACTATGGCGAACCTGATGCGCCAGCTTACACATGTTCCAGTTGCTGCAAATGGCCTGAGGGTAATTTGTTGAACACCTTCATGCAGAAACGCTTTTTGGGGTCGTCATTAGTTGGACAGGGGAATTTTTAACCACGCTTGCACAACCTTGTCTGACAAGATGGTGACAAATAGCCACATCTGGGAACTAGGAACGATTCACTATCCACTTAGGATGGATCTTTGGATTTTTCCCGCACGTTTATGAGTGCAAAGCTTAGTCCTGGACATGACTTGTCCGAACATTTGTGTTTATCCTGTCCACCTCTTATGTCTCAAGGCCATCTTCCACTTGGTATGGTGAACCTTGACCTTTTCTGTTGGTGTACTTTAACTGTGAACACTGCAAATCTCCCCCTCAGCGAATGGAAGGCTTCAGAGCTTGACTCAGTGAATGCCTGGTATATTCGGTGACTTAGTGAGCATCTAGGGCAACCTCAGATTGTTTGTTGTACAGTATGGGAGCTTTGGGACAGTATGAGAGAGTTTGGGACATTTCCCTGAAGGTACCTAATTTAATCTATTCTATAGAGTCATTGATGCCTCTCCATTTTTTGTTCGCGTATATGCGTAGCTAATGAAAGTCTACACGGCGCCATAATGTGAGATAGTCTACACAATTTGCGTTTATAGTTTTTTTTCGGAAGGCGTTTTGTGAATCACATGCCACCTTCCTGTCCCACCAGCATTTGTGGGCTCTCGCCACCTGTCAGTTAAGCTCTCGCAAGCCGGTATCCTTATTGATTTACTCCTTAACGGACTAGATTTGTTTTGCCCACAGTGGATAATTCACTTACCACGCCTGTCCTTTTTTGGTTACTTTATTCACACTGGGTTCGAAGTTTTCGCCTTTGCTCTCCGGAATGTGATGCAAACACACCTCGCTCCGTTAAACGGGTTGGGTGAGGACAGGAGTATTTACGCCGGATAATGTTGGTGTGTTGGGATTCAGTCCTTGCATATTTTGGGCGGTGCAACTAGTGACGTCCTGAACATAAAGCCACTACAATCGCCCAAATGAGTTCCCCAAAAGATCACTTACCTGATTGGTTGTTTCCAATTGAATTGGTGGATGTGATTCATATCAAAGCAGCTGTCGTTCACCATGTATGAAATTATTTAATGTCTGCTGTTAGACGCAGATCAGAAGGCCACTTTTCAAACTACCTAAATAATAAATAATAATAACTAAGTGTTGAGCTATTACTTAGTTCAGTTTTGGTGACGTTTGAATTGTGTTTTCTGTTCACGCGCATTGAGGTCCTACCAGAGTATTCAATACACCATTCCCGGTTGCAGATCAGTCAACATTCAAAGTTCCGGAGCTTCTTCCTGGAAAACCATGCCCTTAGGTTATCCGACCAGAAGCCGGCAACCAAATCGAAAGTGCCTTTTGGGATCAAACCCATATCTTTGAAATTATAGTCCACAGTATTATCCATCCGAGGTTTTATGATTTTACGAGCCGCTTGGCCTAATCGCTTTGACTCCTCCCTAAATTTGGTTCTTCCAAAACGCTGGAGCCAACTCGCAACTGTCTCATTTTTATTGGTGTGGCTTTAATTCGAGAACGTGGACTCCACACTTGACATTTAGGTTAATGAAGGATGATTTGGATTTTTCTGGGTCAGACGGTCGCCATGCGCCGGATCGAAATCACAGCTAGACTGTTTGCTTTGCTTATACGAAAGAATTCTGTGTGTAGTCACGTTGAGTTGTCTACCTCTTCGAAAAGAATTCGTTCATTTATTGCACTCTTTCGGTGCCTAACTGCCGTGTCACGAGGGCTGGGATACTGCCAGGTTGCCCAAGTCTAGACAGGGGAAGTCGAGAGGCAAAGATCGGATTCGAACCACGGATCTTCCGGTCAGTAAATTGGTGCTCTATCCACTTGGACATCTTTACCTCCTACAGGGAATTAGTAAATACTTAGGGTTAAGTGTGATCGGAATGTCTTCCTGTATCACGGATCTTCGGTCAGTAAATTGGCGCTCTATCCACTTGGACATCTTTACCTCCTACAGGGAATTAGTAAATACTTAGGGTTAAGTGTGATCGGAATGTCTTCCTGTATTGTTCGGCGATAGTGCAGTCCGATCCACATGAGCCCAAGATTTGCCACTGAACTTACCTAACAACCTATCTGAAGTTGTCGACTGTACTGTACGCCGTTGCTCTGCAGGCTGCTGTTTGAAAAGCAAAGTGCATTCTGTACTTCGCTTCATAATGCCCAATTGCCTCGCCTCTTCTTATAGCCTCCCGCTCTCTGACTGCAGCCTCATCGAATATGCACGGTGGAGGGTAAGATGCCTTGTTTGTGCGATGTCGTCAATATTTTCCTCTTCTCCTTGCTTTTAGATGCATTATGAGCAGTTCGGCGCCACTGATTGAGCAGGAAATCCTCGACTCGATTCGACCGACTTTGACTGAATTACTTACCATCTGGGATTATGTGGGTGAGTTCTGTTGATAAATTCCATAATGCCTGCAGTCACGCGTTGGTTTCCGCCAAATCAGCCTCACTAGACTCGAGTGGTTGAGTAAATAACCTTGTCTTACCAAGCATTTATAGTTGTAGAAGTTCGTCCCTATGTACCTCATACCTCCCAGTTTTTAGATCGCGTTATTTTATTTTGACAATATGACTTTTTGTGAAGAACGCGCTGGGAGGTGAGGAAAATCTAACCATTTTACCCGACTGCTCTGTGTAAGCGTTTCCTTCCAGCGTAGCTGGTGATGTTAGTTTAAAAAGTCGTTCCTAAAGTGGAGCTTCTGTGTAGCTGTTTTGCTGTGGAGACCGATTATTCGTGGTCTCGTTTGAAGTGAACGTGAAAGATGTATGTGATTAGGGCTTTCAGCAGAAAACAAATCGACCTTGATGTCTCACCCATTAAATAGATACGAATACCAGTCGGTGGAAACCCATCAATATGACACCGGGTAGTCTAAAACAAGCAGGAGTTTCTGCGGCTTTTCTTCAGCTTTTTCATTAGACGAGTGCTTTCTGTACGCAAGCGTTAATCATGATGAATATGACTGTGTCCAAAGGTCAGTAGTCAGCCAAGTCCCCTCACTCGCAGCACGTTGACTGATCAGTCATTTTGTCCTGTTGTTGCTTGTTAGTTGGCATGTTTGGTATTAAGGCAGTTCGAAGGGTCTCAGCATTTCATTTTCTCTCTTGTCAGCTGTATGCAGCAATCAACTTATGAAATATTAACTTATTCTTCCATGATTGCTTGACGTGGCGTGCATTTTGATATGGTTTCCACAAACCGTGGTTTACCGCTGGCTGATTTTAAGGACGCATCCTGCGAAGTTTTTTACTGGAGAACAACCTGATTGGTGGTGTGGTTTGTATAATCCATAGCCTTACGCAGTTAACTTATATCCAGGCCAAAACAGTTACGCTCGCTATTTCCTAATGAACTCAACTGCAATGACAGATCAGATCACGTGACATGCAAGATCGATGAGAAGCTCCGTATTTCGGCCATTAGTATTGTTATGTCCTCGTTGTAAGAGACAATGATGTGGCTGTTCGATCTCGACTAGTGAAAAACCTCTGGATAACAAACACTCTTCGAAGAGGATTTTTGCATAATGGAATTCTTTTTTGCATTCGCCCTTTATGGGGAATAATCCCCTTGGTCGAAGCCCGGAAAGTACCCCAAATGGCCGTTTTAATTCACGAGGATATGCGGTAAAATGGTGCTGGATTTGCTATTAACAGGCATTTATTACTTGACTGAGCTGTTGATTCCACTATGGTCGGTGCACCATGCCCGCCGAAACATGCGCCCTAACCTTCGCCCATATTATGGTAACTGCTGATAAATAGGACAACTTTTTAGGGTATACGTTCACCGTCTTTGTTCCTTGGTCGAGCGAATCGAACAGTTTGCGCATTCTGTCCGAAGATTGGCCCACCTGTGCGTGCGAGTGACGACGTAGACAACCCAGGTAACATTTCAGTATGGTGAGCGTAAACTAACCGATGATCGCATCTTTTCCTGAATCGATGGAGTAGTTAATCGTCGGTCAGTTGGTGAAGAAAACTTGTATCGTCAAACTTCTGATCGTCGTCATTGCTGCTTGGATCACGTGACGCCATCAGTTTAGCCACTGGTACTTGCACATCTGTCCACCTACCAGATCCTCTGCAGGCCCATACGTTGTGAGAACTGTACCGCGACGTGCTATCAAAAACGTTTGACGGGAGGCAGTTGAATGACAGTCGTTTGGTTTATTTGTTTCGTTTGTGGGATCCGTATGGCTCTTGTTGGGACTATGGTTGTTTCAGCTTTCGACTGGCGTGGGTGTAAAAATGCATTGGAGTGTACCGGACCATGTGAAGTGCATATGACAGGTGGGGTCTGTCTGGTAGAACGAATTCCACTAGGTATAAAGTTCCCAACTGCAAAGCATGTCCCGGAGTGAGATATTTCTGTCTATTAGTGAGAAAGTGAGGGCAGTTACTTTGAGCGAAAACAGCCCAATCTACTGCGTTATTGTTGGTTTGACTGGCAGTGTGATGAGAGATAAGAAAAACACCACATTTGAATTTCAAAAAGGCTGGATTCTACTGGTGGAGTCGCGCGTCCACTAACTAGCTTCTTTCACGAAATAAACGGTAGATTATACAAGTGGTTAATAACAGCGCGTCGAAGATACGACCAATTACTGGGAACATTTTGGACAAAAAACCCCAAGAACTGGTCAATGGTCATATGAAACAACGATTTGCTGCACATCCTACGGAAATGGTTAAACACTCACTTCGTCAACCCACCTGGGCGGAATCCCCGGGAGCAGCTACCTCAACTGCTATTGGTAGGTGGCTGCAAATTTCTGTAGTGTGTTTAACGTATCCTGTGGTTCATCGGGGTAATTTCTACTTTCCATTGTCTTTGGTTTATGGTAATTCCGACACACCGATGTGCTACAGGTCATCACAGCTTGTGGTGGACAACAAAGAATGAGGTCACCATAGTTGTTGCTTCATCAATGTTTAGATGGCGCCCACCGTGGGCGCGTAAGGGGTTCATTGTATTAGCGAGCGCTCACACAGCCACGAGCTTTGGGCAACAAATAAAGGCAAGGTCCAGTGAGCGGATATTGTGGAAATTCGTCACTGTCGCATATCACCGCTCTTTTGGAAAAGGGGTAATATTGTTTTACACATATATCATATCATATCATATCATATATATCCATGCCGCATCCGTCTAGTCGACGATGCGTGGAGGCGTTTTCCCCGACGAAAACTCCCAGCAGGATAGTGGGGAACACTTTGTCAGCGTGCGTTTATGTAGTATTTAAAGGCCATCTGTTATCTCCCAACGTGATTGGCTAGTTGGTTGATAGCGTTTTTCGTGAATTCATCGGCCCGTTTGTGCACTTGTTGCGTTGTGGTTTGCGTTCTTTCAAGTCGATTGGTGATCCCGAAGCCTTCTATTTTTAGTAGCTTCATCCCCACCTATCACTAAAAATAGAAGCCTTTGGGATCACCAATCTACTTGAAGGAACACACACCACACGAACGGACCAATGAATCCACTAAAAACGCTGTCAGCCAACTAGCCAATCACGTTAGGAGAGAACAGATAGCCTTTAAACGCTATATAAACGCCTCAGGCAAACAGGGGATACCCAGCCAACTGGGCACTCATGATGTCTCCTCGTATGGTGACTAAACGTTTGCAAGTCAATTGCCAAGACCGGCGCACAGATCAACAGCTAGGTGCACGTACGTAATATATACGTAATATGTATGGAAGACTATCCAGTTATCCTCTTCTGGCCCAAAAGCGGTCACTTTTGCATGGTAATCTCTCGAGAAGATAACTTAAATGATGATGGTCAACTTCGAATCGACCGCTTCGTCTCGGGACGTTTGCTTTGTTTCCCCATCTGCTTACAGCACTGTTTCTATCCACCGAATATCTACCTACTAATCATATCTCCCTTTGAACTGTAGGAATGATGTTCATCCCTTTCAATGGTTCTCACCTCTCTACTACGAAATCGAACATAAGAGGACTTACCGTAATTATAGAACTGGCTGATAATGTTTGGTTCCTCACCGTTATCTGTTCACTTTACCCATACTCTCTTTACTTCAGGCTATACTGGAACAGAACGCTCAGATCACTTACACACGGCAATCCGGAAACTGCGCGGAACCTTGGAAGAGGTGGTCGCCGAAGAAAATGCTGCTCGTCTGGAAATGGAACACCAAGTGGAACAAAAACGCAGAGAGGTTTCGGACCTATGCCAACAGTTGCGACTACCCGCTTTCTTGCCGGACAGGGGCCTCTCTGCGAATGACCTTCTAAAAGTAGGTTATGTTTGTGCGTTTTGAGGGAGTTTTCCCAACTTGCTCAACCTGTCACTCACGGGGGTCTCTTTGTGAATGTAATATCTATCCGCCTTCTTTCACACAACGTTCCTTGCCGGTAACTTGCCACCTCTATGTTTAATGTCTTCTGATGGACAACGAACCTTTTCTGATGGTGCTCATTGCTATGGACAGAGATCAGTGGCAAGCCCCGTAACACCTTTGTTCCGGAGTCTGATAGCACAGGTGATCAAGAAGTTCAGCTCATATTCTAATTTCCGGAAATTACATTTTTAACTCTCCTTCATCCTGAGCGGGACAGTTGAAGTAAGCTGAAAATACATTTCTTTACCAAATTCCTTCCCATTTTCTGAACTTTCGACATCCATTAGTGATTGTTGTCGCTTATACACAAGGTGCTTAACCATTTTGTACACGAGTACTTTTTTGCACCACCAGTCATTTGATACTGTTTTAATCTTTCTGGTATCCACGGTACTGACATACTCATCGAAAATATCCAATGTGGGTGTGCTGTAATGTACACGAACAGATAATTCCAGCATAACTTCCACACTTTTTCAATCATTCTTTTGGTTTTCTCGCGATATCAACTTGACCGTGGTTCAGCCCTCGTACAGAGCTACGCGCCGAAACGATAAAATAACATCTTAGTTCCATTTTTGAATAAGTTACCAACTGCACGACCTTTCCGTTTCTTGATGTCAACTAACACTGGAAGTTATTGAGAGTTATGAATGTGACCCGACTCCTCGGAGGCCACAACACGCAAACACGGAACACTGTTCCGAGGAGGAACTTGCTACATATGACCAGTTCTCCTTAGCGGTACTCCGTATGGTTACCATCAGAATGATAAATTAGCAAACGCACCATGGATCTTCGGTATTCTCACAATGAACCCCCCCCCCCATACAAGAAAAGTGTCTGCGCTGTGGCTTGATGTGCGCAACCGCTTGGAATCATAACTATCGCGCGTTAAAATCCTAGGTGACGAAACCTAGAAAACGCCATGCGGGTGCCATCATCCGTACTAAGCACACGTTTTGATTGAGGCAAGTACTTAACAGACGGTAATTGCTTGTTCTGAAACTTCGCGCTTTGCGGATGACTGATCACTTAATCCAAGGATTTCTGGGTTTCTTTCTAATCTCGGTATTAATCAGTGTTTCTTGAGCTTGCCAATTCCTCGCCTCGTTATCGCGCTCTTTATCATTCCTTGTGTACAATTAATAATGACTTAAGATGCTGCACTGATACATCTACTCTACTTAACAGTACACATTAAGGTTATCTATCAGGCGCTACTTGTTGTGAGCCACCTCCTCCTGAACGGGCTCAAATCCTCCTTTGTATATCTTTTTACTGGAGGAATGCAAGTGGGATGGGATAACACATTATCTATAAGCATTAACTAATCCTGTGGCTGGGTTTGGTAGATCAATAACAGCTTGGGGAGATCAGTCTATCAGACATTGAGGAAAGCCCTGAGGTACCCAAGTTTGGAGATTTGATGTCCGTTCAGTCACATAGGAGAAAGTTTTTTGGATGCACCGGGGTCTTTGTTCGCGAGTTTCAGTGCTTTCAATACAGTGAACAAAAGTCCGTCTTTTTCTACAATTCAGGTTAACATCCATAAGCCTTGAGATGACTTTTTGAACATTGGTCTCATAATATTTCGTTTTCAATGCTACACAGAACTGATAAGCAATTCAGTCATAAGGACCCTATCAAGACGCACTGTAAGCAAGCGGACTACGTAACAAAGTCCAACAAACTAGCACTGACTACAACGAATATGGCTGTAAATGCAGAAAAGCATAATATTGGATTTGTGTACTTTTATGGGCAAGTGTGTAAAGTCCGGATACTATGGCCTGCTTTCATTGTTATCCGACCTCACATAGAATCGGAGTTAGGAAAGAAATCCATGGGGCTATCCGTATTTCGATCTTTGGATACATGAGACATCGGTATTGTTATAAACAGCTGATGGGGAACTGGGATTCATGGGTTAGACGAACTCTGTCAGAACACAGTCATGAGAACCAGTGTCATGGTCTGCAGAATTAATAGATGATGGGAAAGTCAGTGGGGCCTATGAATGGGGAAGCAATTTACGTAAGATTGCAGAACACATAAGAATGTATGTACGAACCGTGCGGCGGACAGTCCCATAAAGTTCCATCATAAAAACCCGGTAAAGGATGCATATTAGAGTTTAATATACCCTCGCTCAACTGGTGGACATAATATTAGAGCAGACGATGGGCTTTCATCTCGCTTCGGAGAAATAGTTAGCGGACACACGTGGTAGCAAAAGTAGGAGTGGAGCTGAGGACGTTCGGGAGAGATGCGGAAGATGTGGCATTCAATTCCTAGCTGCAATCGATTGTGCCATGTTTACCCTTCCCGTACACCGTTTGAGGAAAACAGGTTCGTCAATTTAGACGCGTTAAAAAGTTCCATTCCGTTGTTTCCTGTCTTATTTGTGCTCTACTTGTAATCAGGGCAATGCACCTCCCCATTTGTAGGCATGGATTTCTTGTCTATAGAGTCGTTTAAGATGCCGAGTGCTAAACAATCCAATAGCTGTCTAATTTTTTTTTAGGAATGAATGGGTTAAGGCAGTCTCGCTTCGTTTGCTCACGCTCAGAAGCTCGAGATAGCTCAGTGGTTGAGGAGCAGATTTAGTGAACGGAGTATCTGTTGTTCGAAGCCAACCTCGGCATCTCAAATCCTACCATCTAGGCATGGGCAACCCTCTTCCTTTGGATGGCATGATAGCTAGACGCCAGAAGGCTGTTACAGCTTAACGATCATTATTCGTTTATTATTTATTATGTGAATCGATGTGATATGCATGATAGCATATTGATGCCTATCTGGATGGTGTGCACATAGCAACTCAAAACGTAATTTTGATAAATCGAACAGATATATTAACGAAGCATAAATGCACACGATCGCGAGCAAATCCCCATTACTCTCCATCCATCTTTTCCGTCCAACTTCGTTGAAGTGACTGTTCTACAGCGTCCTATTACTCCGGTGAAAAGCACCAATCTAGGATAACACTGCACTTCCTAAATCAGTGCCAACATCTATTCTGAACACCGTTACAACTGAAGTTTGAGTGGTACATTTATGGTTTTGAAAATATGTACCCGTACGGTCTTCCCAGAAATAAACATGACAGAATAACCCGCTGGTATCTGAGATTTGAAATTCACAAACCACTGGTTTATTTGATTGTGAATTGCATGGAAACGGTCTTTCCAACAACTCTGTTTTCAAGTGTTGATGGTTCTTTTTGCACCCCACCCCCATTCAACACATAACATATGGATAGCTATATGTAACAGTAAAATCGGTGCTTGTAATTCAATGGAATGACCGTACTTCATTTCTTTGAAGTGCTTTGTTTGTTCTCAGCTACCCCACCTTCTACATGTAAGGTGCTCCTATTTCTGCTCTTCACGTTAACTATATCACCAGCACAACATGATATTCGTTGCTATTTCCTTCTCACACCCTCCCGCCTCTAACAAGACTCTGGAACTAAAGTGCAAGGAACTTCAGCAGGCCAAGTTTGACCGGTGTGAAGAGTACATGAGATTGCGCAACAGACTGGAGAAACTAAGCCTGCTACTTTGCGAACCAGCTGACCTTGGTGCGAAGCGTGTCGCCTCATTCCCACCGCTCACTTCGAGTAACAATATCGGCGATCAGGTCGATCAGGTCACGACAAGCGATTTCGATCCGGCCTCCTGTGGTAAGTCTCCGTCTTGCATTATTCTAGTATGTTGTGATGTCCTCATTAAAGTTGGAACGATTGAGACAAACCTTTCTATCCATCCATGCTAAGTTTGACGACCTCCTTGTTTCAAAACTTTATGAATGAACGCCATTTAGTTCAGAACCACTGCATTTGCGTTCTGGTTTTAAACGTCCTTCGGACTGTCATAGTACTGTCTTATCAAGATCGCCTGTGTTCAAGGATTTCTGAGGGGAAAACGTTAGACGTTCTCCTCTTTTTCCGCTTGAACTGGGTTGCAATGACGTTAGGGTACAATACCGTCTGCTTCTGCAGCCGATTTCCACGCAATTCTTGAAAGGGGTTCTTTTGCCCGTGATGGTCGCTCAGTAAGTCCAAATAAAGGTTACCATTCCTAGTCAAAGTATGGCACGATTTGCCTTTCCCTGTCCGCAGGACAGAGTGAGACCTCATCATAATCATCATCATCATCTTTCTTGAAAGTCTTTTGCCCGTGATGGTCGCTCAGTAAGTCCAAATAAAGGTTACCATTCCTAGTCAAAGTATGGCACGATTTGCCTTTCTTTCCCCGCAGGACAGAGTGAGACCTCATCATAATCATCATCATCATCGAAGACAGCAACATCAGTGTTGACACTGATGCTTCAC